AGATGAATTTATTTAAATTTAATAAAAGAAAAAATTTTAAATTTAAAGTTAAAAAATATTTTTAAAAAGAAATATATTAGTTAAAAAATTTTTTATTAAAATAAAGCTAGATTAATTTAAAGATATTTAATTTAATTTAGTTAAATCAAAGTAGTTATGGTTGAACATGCTTTGAAACAGATTTAAAATATATCAAATCAATTTCAAATTATTTTTGTATTGAATTAAATCAAAACAAATCAAATTAGATTTTAATTTGAATCAGATCAAATTGAATCAAACTATTATAGTTTTGAATTGAATCAGATTAGTTTAAAATGAATCAAATCCATATTCAATTAATATTTATAAAAACTAAATTGAATCGAATCTAGTTAAAATTGAATTTGATTTGATCCATTATAATCACTAATTCTAATCTTTTTTTTAATCTTTTACCTCTAGGTTTAGGACCTCTTATAGTTTTTTCTATTGTGACTTTTGTATTCCAAGATAGTTTTAGTCCCTACAAAAAATATACTATTTGCAAACTCTTGTCATTGTTTCTTTTGTTACAAAGTATACTACTATAAAGTTTTGCTTTTTAAATATATGAGAATTTCTTGATATATAATGGGCCTTAACTTCTGTACCATTAAGTGCTCTAACTATCAAACTTGAAAGTATTCTATTTGTGCCCAAGAACCTGATTGAGTGTTGGTTTCATTTGATCAAAATCTCATTTATTTCTTTAGTAGTTAATTCTTCTTTAGTAAAGATTATTTTTGTTATTTATATTTCAAATAGTATTATTCATATTTTTTCAGAATTGATTTTGAAGTATTTATGTTATTTGAAATAGGTCTTTATTCTATTTTTAATTTTTATCTCATAAATATTAATATTTTTAATATTCCCATATCTTTTTAGGTATTCATTTATATAACTTCTAGGAAGTTTATAATCCATATCTGCTAGACTTACATATTATATATCTTTGCTTTTTTCTGAATTGTAGATTCAGAATATCTTTTTTTCTATCTTATCTATAGCTGATTGATCCATGTGTTTTTTTTTTCCTGTTTCTAGTTATTGAAGATTGAAGGCTTCCTTCTTTTTGTTTATCTCTTTTAAATATTTAAGAAGATTTTTTTCTTTGAAGTGAAAAATTAGTTATTCATTGCTATTAATAAAACTTTTGTGAAGAAAGTTTCATTTTTTCTGAAATAGTTTTAAGATATTGCACAAATAAGCTTTAGTTTTTTTTTCTGAGCTTCCTGAAATGTTTACTGTCATGGTTCTTAATCGATAGGCTTTTTTTTTACTTATATAGTATAAACTTGAAGTGGGATTTGTAGCTTAAAAGATTTAGGAGATCTGGAAGGCTTAAGTTACTCCAGTAATTTATTTTTACAAGTATATAAGCAATTATAATTCACTTAAAAGTAGAATAAATTAGTAGAAATAATTTTACTTTTTTCTTGAAAAATTGAATATTTTCTTTTGATTTTAAGATTAAAAAAATTGTTTTATTATGCTTGATTTATTAATAAACTTAAGTTTTGGGTGAACCATATTTTTTGTAATATATTATGTAATATTATTTAAAGAATTCTTGATGAATCTATTTTTGAATAACTCTTTATTATTAGAAATTATTTTTTGAATTATTTTTTTAAGAATTGTTTTTTTAAAAGCAATTTTACTTGAATAAACCAATTAAATATAAATTTGATTACAATATAGAACCTCAAATTAGTAAGATTTTTATGAATATTTAATTATAATCCTTTAAATTATAAATATAATATATAATAAAAAATTTGATAAATATATTAATTTGATAGATGTTAAAGTAGAAATAGTACAAATTATATAATAAATAATGTTGAATTATTGTATATAATAGAAATTGATTGATTATTTATTTATTTATATCATTAATTTACAAATTATTTATTTTTCGATGAATATTACATGAGTAACATTATATCAAATAAATATTTTTGGACTAGTGAAATATTCATAAAAAAAACAAAATTAGAAGATTTATAAGATCATATTATTTTTAAATTTTAACAAGATCAAGATTATATAAAAATTAGAGATTATAATAAATAGAATTAAATATAAAATAAAATACTATAGTTGAATTTTAGCTGTTATTAGAACTTAATAAAGTAGTAGTAACCTGCAAACAATGATATTAGTAGTTGAAAAGATATTAATCAAATTACTAATAAAGAAAAAATTTTTTCTTTTAAAGTTATACTTAGAATTAATAAAGATAAGTGAGATATTAAAAAAAAAAGATCGAATAATAATAATAATAATAATAATGAGTAATAATAACATTCTGATAGAATTTTAGTTATGTAAAATTATTGAAATTATTATCTCCTATTTTAGGGATTTTTCAGACCCTATAATTGTGATCCTAAAATTTGCATTATATACGTATTATCAAAAATGGGGACCGAAAAAACCATGTTTAATATTTTGGTCGCCTTCAAAAATAATTGTCCACATATTGCACACAATAAAAGTTCAAGATTACTATAAAAAGATTATTTAAACGAAGTTACATAAATTACTATATCCAATTTTTTTAATCAGCATACTTTTTACACTGCATATTTATTATTCGATTAAAAAAAAAAAATAAAACAATGATGATCCAATAAGTTCTTTGGTTAACGAGCATGTTTCACTTTATAATCGTTTTTTTTTTTTTGATATACAAACTTTACTAATGTATGCATCTTTTGTCTTAGATGACAATTTCTATAAAAAGGTGGCCAGTTAATAATTTTATTTTTAACTTATACATGGTGTAAATGAGATAGTTTTTTTTTCTCGTGGTAAAACAAAATTTATTGGCTAAGGATGAAACGAAAATGATGGCAAAAAAATGGATACAAAGAGCAAAGCCGTGCAGTGATCGCAATGTTCGCACAAAGTTCTTACTAATTACTCGACTTCCACATGAACACTAACCATTCTTGTCAAATGAATTGAAAGACTTGAACATCAATACGAGCATCTGATTGATGCATCATTACAGCACAAATAGACGAATCATTTGATGTTTTGTTTATGGGTGTATCGTGTTTATCGTGCAACATGTTTTTCTCCACAAATATGATTTCGCCGTAGCCAATTAGATAATTAACTCCCGCCTACTGCGTTCTTCCACAGCCTGTAAAAAGGAACATTATCACGTGCTCAGGATGCATTTTCGGCAGCAAAGTCGGATCCTACACACCGCAAGTTCGTGCGTACGTTCTCATTGGTTTGAGCATTTACGCCTGCAAGTCATTCTTCAAACAAAACAAAAGAAGCCTCTTTGTATGACGAACGATTGTTTGTTAACACAATGTACGAATGATTGTGTGTGTGATCGGATTCTCCCACAACCTAAATTTTGTTTGACGCTAAACCTCGATTTCCATAATCCCATTAGTGCTTCGGTATAATTGTTCCATCGAGATGAATTATTAATTCCGTGTAAAATAATAAATCGTGTCAGACAGGTCAATTATTGCTCGTCGGACAAAGTTGACTTGAATATAGTTGCGGCAATGCCGTCCTAAACCCCATTCCTAAAGGGAAGCGGGCGCCTACGAACATAATGAGAACACTAAAATTTGGAGCACGCGTGCTCACGGGAAATTGGGATGAATCCGACGTAATGATAAACTTTATCCTATCCTGCCTACGTTTATGTTTTCTCGTAAAAAAAAAAGCATGTGGTCTGACCTTATGCCGCTTTTGGGTCACGAGGATCAAACAACTGTATCGTACTTTAAAGGGTAAAGGCTTTCTATCGCGGCGGCTTCCGTAGGAGCTTACGTATCGGTATTGAATTCGTTCATGAAACATGTATTAAATTAGCATCATCAAACATTATTACGTAATATTTTTATTGTCCAATTCAACAAGCAATAGTGCGTGCCGTAGTGTATGTGGATTTATGTAGGATAAAATGGAATAAGACGCAAATACAACATGAAAGACACCAATAAATACATAAATCAACCCCGCCAACAGCTGGCGAATAGGCAAATTGTTTTACGCACCGGTTCTGCACTGCGAAGACGTTCACTCTACATGCACTACTGTTTTATAATATGTACTCTGGAATAACTTAAAGAAGTGGTCTTTCTCTCGCATCGTTGGAATAGATTGTCCAGAGTCGGCTTTTATAATTACAGTAAAAATCAAACTTTAGCATAAGAACTTTTTAACTAGGTGAGAAGGACTGTTTCCCCTCGTACATCATCAAAAAACGCCACTACCTTTTCCTTGCAAAAAACGAATTCTTGATTCCCTTTCCTTTTTTTCTTCATTCTTTCATTTTTGTTTCATTTTTTCTTGTTTCATTTTTTTTTGCTTTGTTTCATTTTATTTTATTTTATTTTATTTTTTTTTTTTTAAGACAAGATATCATACATTCCAGAGTTACCGAATCTATCCAATTTACCATACTCATTTTCTTTAAATTTATCATCGATTCGTCGCTTACCTCAGATTCTCTGTGAATTTCTAGATCTGATCCCTTAATTATAAATATTTCTTGTGCGAAAAAAAAAAAAAAATTTTTTTTTTTATCGCGTTCAACTGAAACGAACTAGCGATTCACACTCTCCATTGACTATTTATAAATTTCCTCTTTAACCGATTGAGGTTACCCATTCTTTCCTTTCTCTCTCTCCATATTCCCCAAATCTTGTTTGTCACGTGAGTTAAATAGATAAACTTGTCAAATTCACGAAACTTCCAAGTTTTTTTTTTTTTTCTTCTTTTAATTTTTTTTTCTTTTAAAAAATCCACACCGAACAGTAGTAATTTCCAAACAGCCTTTCTGCTTTTGAAGGTGTGATGCATTCGAAAAGTAAAAGTGCTAATGCCTACAACAAAAACATGCAAGTTCGCATTAAAGGTGACATACTGAAAGAAGGAAACGGACAATCACCGTTTCCCTACATCCTCATCGATGTAACGGAATTGGACGATAATTTGGGGTATGTGGCGAATGTTATGGATATTAAAAGTCGAGAGCAGGTATTTCTCACTACACTTGACGACTTTGTGAATTTCTCGCTCGGGTCGTTGCATGCGATTGATTCACTTTTGTTTTTTCGAAAAAAAAAATATATATATACTTTAAAGGCATACATGTACCTGATCGATAAAACCAATAACCTCCACATCGCCAAAACTCGATCCCTAACTCACTTTATGTCACAATTGAAGTTTACTCCATACCTACAACATCTACTAGAAACAATTGAAGATGAGAACTATTTGGCTTTGGTCTGGGAGGACCCCGGCACTCCACTTTCGGAGATCCTCGCAAATTCCGATCACATGAACAATATTTCATTGCACTTAGATTCCAATAGAAATATAGACATCATCAATAGAGAACAAACCTTTAAATCACCTCCAATAGACATCTCCCAAGATCTCGATTTTCGCAAGACTTTTTGTCAAGTGTGCTGGGGATTGGCCAATTTGCACGAGAACAATTTGGCTCACATGAACATCAATCTGGACACAATATGGATAAAACAGGTGGACAGGATGAAAGATGACAAACGCGTGAAAGAGAGTGAGGCGAGAATCGTTGATTTCTCGAGTTTGGGACATTTTATCACCACCAATCCCGTTCGCATGCATGCTTGGTATAACGGGAATAACAAATCGTCGTCTATTCATAATGTTGGGGAAAAGAGTTTCGAAGAGCACGATGATTACCGGGACAACGAAAACTCTTTTGACGTATTCGTGGCTCCGGAGATTGTTAATGAACAACCATGCTGGGGATGGAGACCTGACGTGTGGTCGTTGGGTGTAGTGTTGTATTTTTTCATCACACGGAACTTCCCTTGTGACGGTGACTATCAAAGATTTCATTGGGAAATAGCGAGCGGAAAGTTTGAATACCCCGAAGGAATGGACCCAGGTAATCTTTAATGTTTTTCCTGCACGCCATCTTATTTCCCCCTTTCTCTTGTCTCATCTCAACTGCGTCATCAATCTTCTCCAGATGCCGTCGACCTCTTAAAACAAATGTGGAATCCCGACCCAACAGTAAAGTTTGACATGTGGGATGTCAAAAAGCATGCGTTCCTCTCACCATCTTCCACGAACTCTACAGTTAACTCGGCACATTCCTTATCTTCGGCATCTGCCTCTTTAAAAGCATCATTCGAATCTGAGGTGCAACATTATCACAAAGACGGTTACGAGCGGCATCGATCATCACATTCCAAAAACCTTCTAAAAAGAAACATAATTCCAAAGAATGTCTTGAGAAATAGTATATTTATGAGGAACCATAAGGATGACGACGGGAAAGGCGGTAAAAATGTTCCAAGTAGTGAAAATGCTCTCGTAGATCCTGATTCAGATTTGATGTGTGTTGAAAATGAGAAACAAAATGTTAAGAATCAGAAGGGAGAAATGAGAGATAAAAAAAGGATGTCATTGAAACGAGGGGGCAAGAAGAGGATTGGAAAAGGGAAGGATGGAAAGGATGGAAGCATGGTGAGGAGGATAAAGTGTGCGGTTAAGAGGTTGGCAAATATATGTCATCCGGAGTCGGCCGAGTCACGAAAAATTAGGATAACGTGTAAGGATGACGAGAGCGAAATCAAGGATGATGCGGAGACATAGAGGTTTGTCGTGGTAACTGTAGTTTTCGAAAAGTAATTTTAATATTTGTACCGTTATCTTGTCGATTTGGATTTCGCTGGATATGTATAATAAATTTTAAATTTTGGAAAAATGATTTCTTTTAATTGTATATTCATTATGTAAATACCAATACTGTATATCGTACAAAGAATTACACTATTGTTTGTTAATTCTCTAAAATATTAAGAAAACGATGTTAATCATTTCTTTAGTTTAAAATGGTTATATCAATGTTTTTTTTTGTTTAATAGAATTTTTTAATAGTATTTTTTTTTTGTAGAATTTTTTTTATGGAATGCTTTTTTTTTTTCGAGACAAAAAGTAACCGAATAAAAACTTTATATAAAAATTCTTTTAATTGATTCTAACCATTTATAAAAAGACATTTATATAAAGTTTTCCGACTTTTGATTAATAAAGTTTTTAACACGATTATTAAGAATATCTTCAATCCAAGATTTACTGTAACCCTTGATAATCAAGTAAAGTCAAGTAATGGGGGGTTTTTTTTTAACCTACTATTCAGTTAATACAATTTGTCATTAATACTTTTTTTTTTTAGTTCACAACTATATCATCATTTATTGAGACATTAAATAAACATTTATAATATTACATACAGTACATTACAACTAACTAAATTTTTTTTTTTTTTAAACCCATGGTCAGGCCAGCATGGTGTGTTTATTAATCTTTAAGAAAACTGATAGGTATACATTGGGCAATTATATAATAGCCAAATTAAATCTCATGTTGACTCATTCATCAACAGCTTTCAATTCTCAAATGAGCTTAAGCCTTTAAGTATAACCTTGAAGACAATATTTCATTCCAGAAAAAGTTTTAAGTAAAGACCTTCTTAACTTACTTATCATTGTCAGCAGGTTGTCACTATCTATGATTCTTCAAGGAACTGATTGCAAAAAACTACAATAGGGGAAATAAAAAATAAAAGGAAGGAGAATATTTAAAAATGCATAAATATGCATACATAAAGAAAAAAAGAAAAATAAAAGTGCATCATGTCTTCCAAAAGATCTCTGCTAGAAATCTCCTCTCATTAGGAATTAATCCTTTTAGAATATTTTTCTTCTTTCTGATCATCTAAAGAACTTATCCATCTATGATTTTAATTATTTTTTTGCAATCATTTGAGGTACTTATTGCTTACTCAGATTTGGTGTCTTGCTCGTTGCTTCCTTCTTTTGGTATTTATTTTGTATCTACTCATGCAAACCTTAATGACTTATAATAGATCCCAGATTCTTATGTGATCTATCAATTATGTTATATAACTATTGATATCTTCTAGCAGTCACATCTAATTAAAGAAATTTTATTGATAAATATCTTTCATTATCCAAAAAGTCAGATTCCTTAACAGTCTTTTTGCCTTGCAATGGTAAAAAAGTCTTATAGAGTAATAAGAATTCTTATTAATTACAATATTATTATATAATGTCTAAGAAAATGTATTCTCAATTCCAGAGAAAAGTAGTGACTTATGGTCTTCTACTTTTCAGTTTTATTGCTTGACTGGGATAAGGAAATAATCTCCTTTGCATACTTTACCTAACCAGGATAATAAGAAGTTGAAGATCTTGGCTTGAACAAATAACTGCCTTTTTATTACCTAGGGAATTAATGTCTCTCCTAATGGTCTTATGATTTCTTTACTTCAGTTATACTTTATTTGAAGAAGTGAAGGATTTCATACCAATTGATTCTCTTTTTTTTCACAATAACATTATCGGAATACATGAGATAATTAGTAAATACTTGTTTACATTTAGCTACTAATGTATTTAATATCCACCAATCATATTTTACAATAGGTTGTTGTGTCACCTAAAATTCAAGATCAATCTGAGATAGGTAAAATTCTTCAAAAAACTAAAAAAATTTTGAGCAACTATAAAAAAAAAATATAGTAGACAGATATCTTAAAATATGACTTGATGTTTGTTACCTTCCATTGCTAAAAACCTCTATTGATATGCTTCAATATAACAGGTTTCAAATACTATACTATTGATTCTTCTTCTTTATAAAACTTTTTTGCTATTGGTAGAGAAGATGTTTCTTGACTTTTCTAGGTTACAGGAAGCCAAGTTTTGTTTAAAAACAAATATAAATAAGTGAGAAGGTTTGGAAGTATATCTTGAAGTAAAACTTCAAGCTGGTTTAAAAATAGTATTAAAAAATTTCTTGCAAACATCTTTTTTATGTGTAAGTAGAGGATCAGCAGAAAGAGTTTTTTGCAAATAAATAAGAGTTAATCTGTAAATTATAATCCAATAATAATTATATAACTTAATATTATATCTAACACTATAGTAAACACAAACAGAGTCTAATATATATTACAAATAGTGATTAAAAAAAAAAAGAATATAATAAATACTTTATTAATTTTTTAAAAAAATATAACAAGTACTTTAACTTATAGGTTTTTTAGCAATTGCTATAGTAGAGAGATATCAAACTTAATATAAAAATATTTCATTTTTAGAAATATATAATATTTTAAATAATATCTTAGTCAAGATACTGGAACTTAATAAAATAATCTTTCATAAGGAATAAATTATTATTTAATATATTCTATATTTCAGATAACTAAAAAAAGCAAAAAAAAAATATTTCTTGTAATCTTATATAAAAAATAGATTCTTAGAAATCATTAAGAACTTAAAAGATCTATATAAGTCAAAGTGACAATCAATAAAGATTAGTGAGTAGTCAAATATTAAATCAATAGTAGATAATAAAATTATAATATTAAATACTTGGGAATTAGAAAATATAAAATTATAAAAACTTTAAGAAAAAATAAAAAGTTATTGTATTAGTAAATATAACTTTTATATTATTAAAAATAAAAATAGAATCTTATTAATAATTTCTATTTTATAAAAAAAGAAATATATAAATTAGATGCAATAATAATTACTGCTGATCCTCTAATCATATACAAAAAAGATATTTGCAAGAAATTTTTTGCTTCTTTACTAAAAAAATCTTTAATACTTTCTTTAAAATACCTTGAAGAGTGACTTCAAGAATCATTTCTACCTCCCCTTTACTTGTTTAGAATTCTCTTTGATCAAAAACTTGACTTCTGGTGATCAAGAATAAGTCAAGTAACACCTTTGATACCAATGGCAAAAAGTTCCCAAAGGCAAAAGGACCAATAGTGAAGTACATGAAGACCTTCTCCATCTTTGAAGCAAGAAGTATATAGAGATTTTTAATAACAGAAGGACTTATTTTTTCCCTTCCAGTCACTGTTGGGTCTCTTAAAGCTATTGCTTTCATAGTTTTCTAGGAAATTTTGCCTACCTCACTTTGACCCTGAATTTTGGGTAACACAAATCCTCATCAAAGGTGATTGGTTGACATAAAACATATTGGTTTTAGGAAAAGTAAACAAGCTCCTATTAGTCACACTCACGTATTTCTATCATATCATAAGTAATATAGGAAAAAAAGTTCTTGAAGAAGTTTTTCTCCAATTACATATATTCGATCCCAGGAAACAGTTATAATATCAAAAAGTGGGATGGATCCATATAAAGAAATTCTATTTCTTTTTTAAGTTCCTCAAGTGATGAAAAGGCTCCCTAAGGTGGAAGCTGAGGTCTTTTAGTTTCTCTTGAACTATTTCAATCTGATGCATGCTTAAATGAAGACTTATCTGATGCCACAGGTGGTAACAAAGAAGACTCCTTTCAAGATTCAAATGAAGCAAAAAAGAATAATCCAATCAGATAAGATTCCTTTTAAGAAGAGGCTGTAAAATGGAAAAGAATCTTTTGGAAGATTTTGAATTGTTTTCATTTTTCCCCTTCCCTAGTTCAACTTCAACAATTCATCATTTTTCAGGATAATCGACAGTAACAAACTATTGACAATGACCCTGATTGACCTAGAAACACTATAACAAGCTACTAGGAGAGTATAATATTGTCCCCTAAATCTAACTTAGAGTATCTAGTTAAGACTTAGTTTTGTTTAGTCTGAACTAGCTTAGTGGACTTCTCATATTTTAAAGTAGTGTAGTTTTTCAATTAATAATATATAAAAATAAGTTAGTTGATACGTGAGAAGGTTTGTGGATTATTTTGGTATTTTTTTAAGTATTTCAATAAAGACAAGTTGTATCGGCATAATTGTGAATTAAAAAAAAAAAAAGATGCAATAATAATTCTATTTCAAAAAAAAAATAAAAAATAAAATTAAAACATATCTAAACAATATTTTAAAACTATTATAAAAAAAAAATTCCTAAAAAAAGAGTTTATTAATAGAAATAAATTACTAGTCTTTTAAATACAAGAGAAAGAAGATAATCAAAAGTATACAAAAAAAAACAAATTCAAAGAAAACAACTACACTATTTAGTATATAACTTTTTAGTCTATTTATATAATACAAAAAATAAAAAAAGCTTATTTCTAGTTTGAAAAACAAAATTTTAAAAATAAAATAAAAAACTCAAATATAAGAATTAGATACAAAAGAATAGAAATAAATAAGAAAATAGTATCAAACTCATAATCAAATAATAAATTTATAGATTTTATCTCTATTTTTACAAAATATTATAGCTTAAAAAATCAAAAGTAAATCAAATAATACTAAGATAGTAGAATAAGGCAAGAAAAAAATAGAGTTAATAAATATCTTATAATAAAAAGTAATAAAAAACCAATATAAAATCAATAAATTGGAAATCATAAATATTTTAAAGATAAGAGGAGAACTGAAACAGAAAATATATAAAATCTTTCAAAAAGTTTTCTGATCAATTTAGAAAAATTACATAGTAGAATAGATATACTAAAGAAACAAATGACTCTAAAGAAATTAGAACAAGGTAACAGGGTAACAAATCACTTTTAAAAGTACAGTTGCTTTCAAAAGTTTGAGTCCATTTACTATGTTTTTGTTATAAATTTCAATTTTAACAATTTTTA